TAAACCCTCGAGGATTCATAACAACCTCTAAATTAATACGGATTGAAAGCATTTCTACCACGTTTTTTTAGATGTACACAAAAACAGATATTGTAATATTTGTTTATATATTTGACCTTAAAAGGAAAATTAAGTCTATTTTCGTACAACTATGAATGAAAATATGTCTGACAATCATAATAAATTTGAAAATGCCCACTAATGTACGAGTATTACCAAATCAGAATTAATGTCAACAGGTAGACATTTTGTAATTTCTACAACCATAACGATAAGTATATAAACAATGTTTTGTTTACTTTAATATCAGTTCTTGAAATGACCTAAATTTTGTTTGATTTGTATCCGATGTACTGGAATAAATTAGAGAAGCAACTATTAGTATTACATAACTACGACTTTTACTACATATATTTGTTTACATGTTTAGTTTCTTAGCGTAGGTTAGACCAAAGTACATTATCCGTTCTATATATTCTTACTATTGTGTTCGAGGTCCTTGCATGAAATTTGAAGGAAAGTGCCGAGAAGATGCGAATGGCTTTTCACATAGCAATTATTACCTCCCCTGACTGCCATTTGAGGAGTATACCCATTATGTCATATGCTTTAAATTATGGAGGCTATGTAAAATAAAATAAAAATCTCCTTCAAATTGGTGCTATGATTAAATTTTGGTTCATATATAATACCCAACCACAAAATTAAGTAGTAGTTCTTGTTAAGTAAATGAAACAAAGGTGTTTACAAAGCTAAAATTAATTTGTTAATTCCCAGATTATATTAATGTGTTCTTAAATGCTTGAACCATGTAATTCAAACAACATACCGCTTAAAAATTGAAACCTTCAGAATTGTTCTTAATATTAACTCATCCGTTCTTGAAATTACAATATAAGACGTTGGTAATAAAACACCACATTTAAAGGCACATTAAGTATCTTTGTTTTAAAACATGCGTTTAGTGCATGTTAAAATATCTACTTGAAAATCATAGTCCTAAATGTGGAATAATTTTTGACACAAGTAGCAAATGTAAACAAAGTGGTATGTTGGTTTATACAGAATTTATTTTTAGTTCGATTGTAAAGGAAACTTAACACAGTCTGGAATGCGGTTTGGAACAAACACTGAACAATGAGTTAAGTTTTCCTGTTAATACAAAACTACACAATTGTTATTAAGTGGATTAAAGTGAAACTACTTATCATTAAACCGGACGCTAAAGATATAAGTTGACATCTTTGTACGGACTATTATTGATGTTAAGAAGGAGCAAAAGCAAGCACGTTGAAACTTGGTTTTATTGCCAATTCTTTTAATTAAATTGGTTCGAATATTTTTTTCTGTATACGAAACCAGTTTCGCATCGACTATGTTGTAATGATACACTTACCTCACGATACGATAAGTTTCGATACAAGTTTGTATGCAATCTAGGCTTAATGAGGGACCATACACCCTTGCATGCACCGAGAGTGCGTACCCCGGGCATGTCAGCATTTATGTCCTTAACTGTTATTATTTTCAAAAAGTGACTTTTTAATTTTGCATACAGTGATCCACTGAATGATACTTAATATGTACGAAAGTCGATAATTGTGATGATACCATTTTGATGCACGGGAGGCCAATGAGACAATTACATTGTATATGCATCATGAAGAAAATTAAGGTGTTGCTGCCAAAAAAAAAATGGTCATATATTTCGGTCGCGCATGACTGACTGATAAGAGTATGCAACTCGGAATGGTACCTGACACAAGTTTTCTGTATGAAATATACAATACATTATAGCACATAGTGAGAATCAGCAACTGATATAAAAACAGATAATTTTATTTTGAAACAATGGCATCATTGTCGCAATATACGCCCGTCACAGAAGCTTTTGACAGAGATGTGGGTATTATAGATACTCATATAGGAGATAAGCTCATGGTATTACCGGAGATTTTTACATTTATATCCGTGTACCATGTAATGCATATGTAAGTAATAAGATAAAAAATGAAGTGATTTTACTCCCAGCTGCAAGATTTGTAAAAATACTTGTTGGAATCCGGTAGAAAAAGCAACATGAAACAAATCTAAGTTCAATGAATTGCACTTTAGATAAGATTATACGGTTATATTAAATTAGAAAACCATTCTGACATTTCAAGCCCCTATGACCTTGACCTAGTGACCCCAAAATCAATAGGAGCCATCTACTAGTTTTTGACCAATCAGTATGTGAAATATGAAATCTTTGTGATAAATAGTATTTAAAATAAACATCGGAAACAACGGACAGACTGACCAACCGACATAAGCAAAACAATATACCCTTATTCTTCGAAGGGGGCGGGGCATAATAATTATTATGCGACAGTTTTGCAGGCTTGATTTGTTTTATTCAACAAGTTCATTGAATTTACACGAATTTATCGAATAAAAAAACTTTGCAGCTGGAAAAAATAATCTTTAATTAATTTGTATCAAAAAGTCATTTTTATCTCGACTTGTTTTAAAGAAAAAAGAGAGAGAATGCTAATGTTATTATGCCTTTGATGTTGCGGTTGACACCCTGAAACATAAACATTGATCATAGCTTGTGTTTTATTTTTCAATGGATTACCTTCTATTCGATTATGAAACAACAACCTTTCATACGAGATCTTTAAGTTGACAAGACTGCACTTGACAATCAGTCATAAATGACAAACATTCAAAATCAAATAATTTGCTTGACTTAAGCTGTATATGTTTTCAAAGCTGGACACAATAATTCTTCAGACAAGACCTTAATGTAGACAAAATTGATTATGACCTTCGCGAATCAATGACCACGGCCTTGAGTGTATAATCATTTAATTTTGCTTGTTTATTGGATGTAAATTTTGTTATTTATGAATGGATTGTCTTCACACTAAGGTAAAAAAACACAAGGAAATCGTTCGACATAACCAATTTATTATGACCTTTACTCATCAATGACATTGACCTTGAAGATTATTATTAAAATCATTGAACTTTACTTGAATTTAATTGGTTATATCTTTATTTATTTTTGAATGGAATGTGTTTATACTTGAGCACATCTACCGTTAGGACATTATCTTAAAACTTGACATTGACTTATAGAGGTCATTGACGTCATATAATTGTTATTTCAAAGGCTATTCATTTGCTATAATTGAGTATAACTTTGTAAGCAATAAATGGATTGTCTTCGTAGTTGGACACAATGTATGGAACCAAAATTAAAGAAGACTAAATTAAACTTGACCTTCACTTGAGTTTGACACAGTTAGTAAAGGTCAAAAATATTGTTAAATTGTAATAACATTGTTATTTATTTACAAATTGTATTTATTCTTGAAAAAAACAAACCTTAGGACAAAATATGCATGTTGTATTATTCTGATGTGGTCTTGACCTTAAAGTGACCTTGCAAAGTCACAATATTGAAATTTGGTACATTGGCAATGATTTTAATCTTTAGTTACAAATTTGATTGTTTTTTACTTTGACAAAAGAACACATGTCAAAACAACATGTTAAATTCTTCTGTTAATACCTTGATTTTTCTATTTAGATTAACTGTCCATGTTAAATTATTGAAATTTACGTTAATTGTCATAACTTTGATATTTATTGACAGATTTGGTTAATACTTCGACAAAAGAACCCATTTTACTTGATGAATTGTTTTAAAATTACCTAAAACCTTAAATTGACCATGACATTCACGGTAAAATTTATCAAAGTTGTCATTTCTTTATTAGATATTTACAGATTTGAGTAAAACTTGGACAAAACCGATATGTTGACTGATTCTGGTATGACCTTGACCATTAATTGACCTGTAAGGTCGTCAGAATATTTAAATTTACCAACATTGCTATAACATTGATATTTATTTATGATATTCGTTTATTCTTGGACAAAAGACCACTTATTACAAAACTGGCAGTTATTATGATGATTAATCGTCAAAACAGTTTATATTTTTCATTGCAATATTATGTCGTTAATGTGTTGACCTTAATAGCAAGAAAAAGTGTAGATAATTACTATGCCATTTTTTTGGTATATGTCATATCTAGTTGACCTCTATTTAAGTTTAATGCACTACGGGTAAAAAATCTCTCCACATGGATGTTTTACAGTATCGTTAGGATAATAAGGATAAAACATTTTTTTCAGATTTTTAATATTTTAATTGTGTCTCTATTTTAATTGGAAGATTATTTTCACTTCTAAAACAAATTTACATTCGAGCCCGCCTTTGCGGTGCTCTTGTTATTGAATTCGTACCAAGTCTAAAAATTCTTCTAACCAAGGGAACTTTATCGTTCATCAAATCCATACCAATCAAGTCAAATAGATAGAGTTATTCCCGTTGTTGATCATTTTTGCAACATAACTTAAAGTTTGTTTTGTGGCGAATAGATGAACTTAATTTTAGACATCCGCTCTGTGTAAAATTTTCGTTCAATAAACTGTCAGGGTTAATTATGATAATACCTCTGTATCAACTTTTTACCAGACACCGTTGAAATGTATTACCAAACAGACAGCACCTGCGGAGATATAGAAATTATCTAATTGATTTTGGTGCAAATTCGCAAGGTTTAAACCAAAAATTTCCCGTTGGGTTTGCGTAAGCATGCAATGAAAGTGATAATAAAATGAATGTTTTATTCAAATAATTGAAAAGCTGTTTATGATCTATATTTATTTTGGAAAGGTACGCATCTTGTCTGAAGCACTGTCAGACATGTCTCATTGTGATCTAGTTATTTAATTCTGTATTTAGAAATGATGCCCATTTCTAACTATTAATCTCAGGGAGGGATCTAGGGCCAATATGACCAGCTTGTGATAGTGACCATGTCTTCATTGTTAGTCAAAGGTCACGGTCCATTAACTCAGATAAACTTTGGGCATAGAACTGTTTATTTTCAGTCGTAGTTTAAATTGATTTTCCTTGTAGCTAAAAATTTTCATTCTAGATATCATGATGGCGCACGAGATACAATTAAAGAACAACAAATACCGACAATGGGTCAAGGCGGGCCTAGGCTTAGGTTATCTAAAAGAAGGACTAGCACCATTTTGTGATGACATAGGAAAACAGCAGCACAAAGATATTATCAACCAAATTATAGGAACAAAGACTCCTAAACCAAATGTACCATGTGGCATCTGTCAGATAACAACTCTCCAGCCAGACCATGTCCGAGTCTCAAAAGGAGTGTGTCCATACAAGCAAGATAAATGTAACTGTTGCTTTCCAAATAATAAGAAACCCTGCCCAAACAACGTATGTGGCGCAATCTATGATAGCATTGTACAGAATCATGCATCAATACCACCGGCACCTTTTTGGAGAAACAGCGATGCCCGTGATTGGACAAATGATCCTTGGAGCATATGTAAATGTTTTATAAATGCTCCTGGGTACAAGGACAAGACATCAGCAGTCGACGTTGACTGCTCGGGGTTACTACATGTTATCATAAATAACAAATATTTTCATAATCATATTGGATGCAATGTAACAGGACCAAACAATCTTTTCGCAAAGGTTAATCTTTTTGTTTACTCTGTGTTTAATTACAATTTGTGAAATTATTATACGAATTAAACCGATACTGCACTCAGATGACAATAAAAACTTTCATTTTGATGCTGAATATATACTAAACCTTACAGTAAAGCTATATACTCTTGTATTGAATTTAAAATGGACTTAACTCATTACTGCAATAAGTTGGTGTTATGTCCATATTGCTATGAGGCCAAATGGCGAGATAAACAATCTGCCACAATAAAAATGATTAAAAACTTGTTATGCAACACATTTTATTGTGATTCGATGTAAATTGTTTAAGCCAACATTAAACTTCACTTTGTTTGCTGGACCATTGCAAGTGTTTGGTACGGTTATATTCGTATGCCGTCATTCTTGAGGTGGGGGTCCTTACCATTTTGTGTCACAAATAGCTGTTATAGTGTTTGAGTTAGAGTCACCAAACTTTACAGAAATGTTGATCAGCATGTCACTTTGTGCACCAGGCGGGTTTAACTTCTGGATAAATTCTGTTCACCGTATCCGTTCTGTCCATTCTTACTTTTGTGCTCGAGGATCTTATCCGAAGTTAAACGGAAAGGACCGAGAAGATGCAATTGCGTATCTCGCTTAACAGTTTTAATGCTTAACTGAAGAGTCTTGTTTGGTTTCATTGCTGAACACAGTATAAGTATGTATGTTTGACTTAGTTTTGTTTTCCATTCAATAGGTACGACAGTATAGAAATTGCGTTTTTCACTCAAGTAGTATGGAATTAGAGGAAATGGAAGCAAATTCCTATATTGATGATATGCTATCAGTTCTTCAAGATGGAAAGGAACTTATACACCATCAGGCTGCTCAACGAGCTGTCAGGAAACTACAAGATGTAAGCCTAAATAATGAATTACATTTATTAGTTTGAAATTCTGAAAAAGTTTTGTTATGCTTAGAAATCTTTAAATCAAGACATACTTTTGGTAGTTGACAAAGTGTTAAAAATGATTTCATTATAGTCAAATTTAAATAACGAATGCTTTAAATAAATTTAATTAATGAAATAAAATATACATGCCCATAAAAAGTTAATATACTCAAAAACAACGTATCCTTCACTGTGAGTTATGATTAAGATAAAAAGTGAAGTAAGAAGTATAGTCTGACTATTAGATATCTATACTACACATCATGTTATATAAGCGGATTTTAAAGTCCTCACAAAATAACGAGATATAAAAAGAACAATTGTGGTAATTCAGAAATAAAGTCTGACCTTATATTTAAAAATTATGTTTTATCGAAGGGTAAATTGCATGAATCAAAGAGCTGCAATTATACCTCAATTGTTATTTTTCATCAGCTGAAAAAGAAGGATTTCATAATTACTACTGACGGCTTTGAAGAAGTTCTGATGCAAATCAAAGACGAAATGACAAAAGTTTTGAAATCAACAGAAAATTCTGCAACTAAAGAGGAATATGACGAGCTTAGAAAAAAATTATCTGACCTTGAGTTACAGATGACCCAAGAAAAAGAGGTGCAACTTTGTTTTTATTACTTATAAATTTGTTTCCGATTGATATACCAGTACATGTACATACAGCCATGTTTAATAAGCTTGCATACAATAAGGTAAGCAAACTTTTTTTTGATTTCGCGATGCCCTTTGTCTGTTGTTATCCACATTTTTGTCTTACCTAAGCACAACTTGCGATGTGATGGCCATCTCTCTCCTATGCATCATCAATAATTTCTTGAACCATCGGCTTATAAACTGATGTTGTATTTTGGCCTAAAAATAATGCTCACTAGGTGGTCATTTATCAGCATTATACCCCCATGAATTTAGTTTAAGGGCTTATATAGGAGTCAGCTTGTTGGCCGGTGTGCGTACGTGCGTGTGTGTTCGTGTGTGCGTGTGTGCATGTGTTACAGATTATAAAGTGAATTTAAAAAATCTCCTTGTTGAAAACCACCAGTCCAATGTCAAAATCGGCGAATGTTGCTCAAATAATAACCCTGGGGTAAAAATGGCCCCGCCCTGGGGGAGAATGATTTTCATTATGAACATATAGAACGAAAACTAAAAGATGCTGGGCTTATTGCCATGATATTTGGTACATGATATCATCTATGGTCCTCTACAAAGTTTTTAAAATTTTGCCTCTAGTGTCAAAATTGGCCCCTCCCCAGGGATCATAGGTTCTCTGATTTTACAAAGGCTAGATATTTGATATTTAGCATGAAACATTGTGACCAAGATTTTTCAAATTATAGTCCTGGGGTCAATATTGGCATCGTCCCGAGGGTATTTGACTTTTACAATGTACATAATTATAACAAAAAAAGTTAAAAATCTTCTTGTGTGAAGAGTCAAGGCTTGGAGGTTTTGGTATATAATATCATTTTATCATAAACCATAAAAATCATCTTCTATGAATTGACAAAGGCTAGATGTTAGATATTTTGCATGAAACATTGTGTAATAGACCTCTTCCAAGATTGTTCAAATTTTAGCTCGTGGGTCAAAATTATCATACTTGGACAAAACAATACTTATGACAAAATAAACTTGATGGAAAGTTTTGGTTTCTCTTAGATCTGTAATTTACAGTTCATATCAATAACATTTCGGCATAAACCATACGATAAATTGTAAACAACCTTGCAAAATGATCCTATTTCAAACATTTAAGCTGTCAGATCAAATCTTTAAGAAAGTTTAAATAATCTTTTATAAAATTATGTGCAATTGCACCAGAAACGTCTGAAACTTTTCTTCATGAATAAATTATTTGTCCCTAGCAATAAAGTTGATTTTCTATGAAAGAAACTAAATTGTCACAGTACTACATTTGACGTTTTTGAGATAAATATGGACATTGTGTGTTAGACAGAATAAAAAAACCTATATTTTTTTATATAAAACACATTTATGAAAGTTACCGAATAAAATACAATATTTGTATCATTATTTTTTGTTGTAGGAGAAACAAAGACTCAAGGAAAAAGATTCTTCTAAACAAAGAGAACTAGAATATGAAAAAGCTAAATCAGGTAAGCTTATATCTCCTCGCCAAAGGCAAAGCGGATATTAGAAATGGTCTCCGTCCGTGTGTGCTTCCGCAATAGCGAAAACAGGCGAGGTGTCATCAAACTCTAAACAGAAAAAATGAGAAAAAATTATAGTTCGTTATATAACAATAGAGTAAAAAGCCTTTGTCACTCTTTTAAACAAAAATAATAACAAAGGAAATAAACCATTTTCCTATTTCAATCGCCTGTGTATGGGTCCGTCCTATTTGTTTTAGCAACAGTGACATTTACAAAGGGGTTTCAAAAGCAATCCCAATTGAGGTCTTGATTATAAGCTTGCTATATACCAAGTTTGGTCTCAATATTTCATTCCTACTTCTAGTTAATGTCCGAAACTATTTTACTCTTTTTTTTCGTAATAAATAGTGACCTTGACCACGGGTGGACCAAAAGCAATATCATGATTAATCTTGGGTTATGGGCTACACGTTTTGCACGGAGATGCCAAGACAACAAGGCAGCAATCATTACTGACAAGCATAAGCAAACAATTTCCAGCAAGATTTCTGTTTTATCTGTTTGAATTATAAGCATAATAAAAATTATGTTATTTATATTTTTTACAAGCTGAATCTAATTTACCAATAAGTCTGACTCTTGTTAATTTCTAATTTTATTATCAAAGTGCATATGACACTGGATAATAATGGGGCATAAACATTCGAACATATGTTTATTAATGGCTTTGGTTTTGTGTATTTATTTTCAACAATGTTACTCTGGGACAGTTGTTGCTGACTTTAACTGACTTGCCTCTGATGGCGTCATCCTTTTGAGCTTAAATCCCAACAGAGACTTTGTATTATTTCATGTGAGTATCTTATCTAGTTAGCTTATGGAAGGCAGCCAAAGATACAAGACAGGGTCCTCTTGTTTATTTTGTATCATACATGTTACATAGAACATACTTATTGTTAAATTAGCTTCAGTTGATGAACAATATTAATCACATATATGTTTGTTAAACATACAGAAAAACTAGAGGTCTTGCTATGTCAGTTGTTTTAAACTTGTATGTTATGATTACTGCCAGGTTAGGGTTAACTCTAACCCTTGCATCTTCGTGCCAAAACTTTAATGTTGCTCACTACCCAACATAAATATTGGAATACTTGCTTATCATGACGAGTCTTAGGTATAATACAAAGGCCATCAATCTGACTGCTATATTTGAAGTTGTGCCTTTTTGTCAATTCTTTGCATATAAGTAGAATGATTTGAAAGCTCTAAAGGTATCGATAGGAATGTTGAAAAACTTAATTATAATGAGCGAGAGTTAAGGCATTTACCTGAAAGAATTATTTAGAGTTAGGTCCCTTGTTTACTTAACATATTTGTAAAAATGGATAATAATAGAAAACTGTCAAAGATATTGTACTCCTTCTTCGCATGCTTAATAATGGGGACAATGTACTTCTGTATGACAAGATATATTACTAAGTAACCAGTTTTAAAAGAGCTGCGTCTGTGTTGCAGGACTTTTACTATTACTGTTTGATGATACACTAGCTGCATATTGGACAGAAAGCTTTTTAGAAGATGAACCAAGTCTTACTTTAAAGTTTATGTTGGCAAGAAAGCTAGAAATTAAGATTGGAAGTCTACTATTTAATCCTGCATACATTTGATCTTTAGGAATACCATATTTCTATGCTGTATCAAAACTTTTTTTTTTAAGATTGAATAAAATTGAAGTCAAGTAAAGCTTCTCTTACGAAAGATTCGAGGTGAACATGGAAATTACTAATTGTCGTAGTTGTTTTATGTTGTTCCTTTAACTTCTAAATACCAAACCAGGGAAATTTTTACCAGTCTATCATATGTTCTGCGTAAGTAGCTTGTAAGTGACATTTGAAGGTAAGTTGTAGGGTCAGTGCTATCCCTTTCAGGTTTAGGAATTGGGATAACCGCAGCTACTTTAGAACTACATTTATTAGGATATCCACCAGTTAATGTTGTTAAATATCTTAAGAAGTAATTCCAGAGATTGATATGGATGATGTTTAAGAAATCGATAGTAAATTTCATCTGGGCTTGCTGTTTTCTTGATAGAATCAACTAAATCTTCGATAGAAAAGACAAAATTGTGAATTTTGTCATTTGCTGAAGTCAAATCTACTTGTTCTGAACTTTTCCTATAACTTTAGAAACTTAACTCTGTAGAAACTAATTTGAATATTTTTTTGAAGAAAAATTTGTTTTTGTGTGTTAATGTTTCTGCCATTGTTTCCTGAATTACCTTTTGTTTCTTAGCATATTGATCGTTATTATATTTAAATTGAACAGTGGGATTATTTTATTTACCGCTACTCTGTCTAACTGCATTTCATACTGTCCTTATAGGGATTTTTGCATTTATATATGAAACATATGACTTCCATTACTTGCTCTTAGATTGGTGAATTTGATCTTTTAGCTTTCGCTCTAAATATTCAATGATTATTTTTCAAGTTTTCGGATGTTCGACCATGGTCGAATTTTTAAAAACAAGCTTTTTTTACTTGCCTAATTTGCAATACGTACTGATATTTCTTAATTTTGCAATACATAATTATTTTGATAGCTGGCAATCCATTATAATGTTGAAGAAAAATGTATCAGCTATTTCATCAGAATTAAAATAAAAATCTTACTACAGTAAGAAATCACAAAATCACCACTGAATTCAACCAACTTTAGAAAATGGACACAATGTTACCAATGAAAATATGAATTATGTTTTTGTGTGTTTTATCTTAAGTTAAATATATAAAACTGTTAAATTGTACTTTCAGTTTATAAATAACTCTACAATTTAGCCAAAAATCAGTAGGAGTCAAATGATTTATTTTCACTAAAGTGGTTGTGATGGGATTGAACAGAGGCAGCGTGTGTCATTATCATTATTTGCAAAAGTGTCTGTTTACCCAATCCAGAAACAGATTTTCTCTTGTTTGGTGAATTTTTAACCTTGAAGATGTGGAAAACGAGTAGAAAACCGACCAGAATTGTCACCTGTAAATCGTAAATATGTACATGACTAGTTTATTTCTTTAATAACTTTGTCAAATAAGAAGCTAGGAAGCTGAAACCTTAAACCGATTGTATTAGGAACATTGCTTTAAGGAAAAGGCATATTTTTTTTTTTCAAAACCACATACAAACCCACTTACAAAAGAAATACATGCGAGTGTTGTAAATATTGAGTACTCGGTAGCCATTTTGTCAAGTTTGCAACCAATTTTCTCGCTTTAACCAAATGTGCAACAATCAATTCCCTTCATGTCGTTCCTGGCAAAAACCAGTATGAAGACTTGTAATTAGTTGCAAACAATGTAAACTGCAGTAATTTTTATTTGGAATATGTTTTAAACTATGTTATATGATTTTTATTCAATTTCCTTCATACCCCATACAAAAGCCTCGGACCAATAAAATGGCCCCATATTTCTATATGTTTTTCATGGAAAACTAAGAACGAACAAATGCAAGTTAACCAGGTTTACTTCGTCCAAGTATCTCATTAAGATATTTAAGATGCTTTTTGCATTTTTTGTTTTGTGTAGGAAGCTATAAGATTATAGACACACTTTCAATTAATCTGATAAACATGTTTGCAGTTACATCCCCTATTCTATGTTGTTTTTCTTTATTACTTTATGTCATGCTTTCCAGTGTTTTACTGTAATATACCAGATGATTATATTCTAATAAAGCACAAGGGAAATTTATAAAATATAATTTTCGCTGTAGCTGGACTATAATTATCTGAATGTGGATAACTAAATGGAATAACAGGCAATAAGAAATGCAGTCATACGCAAATTTTCCTTCTTTAGGAAAAGAAAGTCGATTTCATCTTATATCATGTTAAAAGTGTTACAAAATTAGAAAAAAATTAACAGAACTTTATTTCAAAATTGATGACGTGTAGTTATGACGTGATGACGTTGTAATATTTTCTATTTTGTGTACGTATACATACAGCTTGTAATTATACGGAGTTCTGAAGTAAATTAATAAGAAGAACATAGATGTGAATTAATCTAGTTTAATCTAAGAACTGGTAAATGGCGGGAATCGCCTGTTATATATATGAGCTGCCCATTCAGGCATTCATTGAATAATATTGTGCTAACATATAAAGGTCAAGGTTAATGTATCAGAGTTAAACAGATATCATTACAGAAGTCATATAGGAGAATGCGCGACGTTACGCGGCATATAAGATAGAAAAATATCAATTTTATACATGCAAAACAATTAAATATCCTCTTTATCCATCACTGAGAAAAATAAAGCGCGTTGTTGATGTATTTCTATTTTCATTTTTATCTCTATTATTGTAACGGAAAACATTTAAATTGTTGGGTTGGAAGTTCATAATGATATTTTTCAATTTTTCTTCAAGAATTGTCCTTTGACCAAGTATTACTATTTCAGAGTCGTTGCGCTGAGCATCTCCTTATATTTTATTCCAACAAACATATCTTTGATGAAACACAAAAGCTAACAATTCATAAAGTTTTATTTTTAAGATATACGGTGTATCATTTTAGTTCTTTATTTTCAAACAGTTGTTGTAAACGTTATCGAGTTGCGTGTACCTTTAAGATTGGATGATGTTGAAGCACCGTTAAAAGGTAGCGTCGCCTTTGAATTTAAACGTTGCAAGGTTGACGCTAAATGACGCAATAAACGCTAAATGTCGCAATAACCCTGGCCGAAGGTGTCGCACTTTCACACAAATAGTCTGGACTGTAAAGGTAAGACACCGCTGATGGGCACTATAAGGACCTATAAAATAACAAAATAAGACAGTTATATGCCTCAAAGGATACCACTATGAAACATAATAACAAAGTTTACCTGTAGTTTATGAGTTATAAAACTTTGCTTTTAGAAGGGCTCCTTTTTAGAAATGAGGAAACTCTAAACAATCTTCAATATATCATCATTATGAAAAACGTTTCCCTATTGACCACTGTGAAAAAACAAATAATGATATCCAGGTTACAATTCACGCAAGTGAAATGATTGTTTTTACATAAAAATGTTACCATGCCCCACTCACTTTTTATTCTAAATATACCTATAATTTACAACAATCACAGGCAGTTTTCAAAGTTAGCCTAAGTTTTCTTAAATGTATTTTGGTTGACCTTGCAAAATATGAAATACTTTTAACAAGTATTTTCCTTTTACTTTATTAGACTTTGAAAATGTCAGGTATCGTATTTGCTATTAAATTTGGCATTATTTAGCTAAAAAATACCAACAATAATCATAAAATAAAAATCAAACGATTTTTCTTTCCAAAAGGGATCTGAGAGATTCATGAATAATGTTAAAAGAAAAAAATTGAAAGAAATAAATGTTGCTCATTCTGGGGTTTGAACCCATGCCCCTTAGTTTCAATGCATTTGACAGTAATTCTGGCCTGTTTGAATACTTTTCAAGGCGGAGGTAATGCATAAGGGGGATCTTACCTTAATGTCGCAAAATTAACGCTAAATACCCCAATCAGTTTTATTATTACACTTTACGCACAAGTAAACTTTACTGTCCGGTACTACAAAAATATTATGACCATTAAAATTTATGTTTCAGAATTTGAAATATGCTCTGTCAAAGTTTAATGTCGCATTGCTGCTAAATGTCGCAAGGACGGCTAACAATGTCACAATTGCCCTGACGGTGAATATTGAACATTCAACGCTTAATGTCACACAAAATTCAGGACAGTTAAATGTCACAATTTTAACGCTTAATGTTAGTTTTATGATATCACGCCAGCGTGTTAGTAGCTTTCGGTGATTGCACTCCTGATAAATGCTAATGTACGAAAACTGTTCTGAAACTCAACATCATTTTCATAACCATACGGGGCTCAATCTGTCATCTGCTATATATTGTTTATTGGCAACAATGTTTACAAGTTGCTTACAAAATTTTCTCTGGTTGTACAGGATGCTAAATAACAAAAAAAGAACTGAAGTGTATTTGGCTACACCAAATTCTGGTCAGTGAAGGCCCTGTCATGCTTTCCCTTTACCTGGTCATCATCAACGTCATCATATACATCGTCATCATCATCATCATCACCATTATCATCCATCATAATCATAATCAGCTGGAGCAGCAGCGACATCATCATCATGATCATATTCATCTATGTGTGCACATGTGACATTTCATGCTATTGATTTACGATAATAAGGGTTACAATTTAGTGCCACCTGTCATATTTATGGTGGCTGATTTGTGCCATTCGTGATTTCGCCCCGTGACCCTGCCAAGCGATAAGCCGAAAATAAATAAGTTATAATGGCCAGGGCGCGGCGCAAAAACGCGCTAATTAGCAGGGGCGTGGGGCGACGCGTGTCATTTATTAAACTAATTAGCTAATAAGCGCACTCCCTCGTTTCGCGCCCTGCTTATGAGCTTGTTTTCGCTGCGCGCTTTTTTTTTTTTTTTTTTTTTTTTTTTTTTTTTTTTTTGCATCTCACTCCGCGCAATAACGGGGCGACGATTTATCTATATTATATTTTATTTTCCCCCAAAATTGGGAGCGTAACATATTTACAAAGTATATATATGTACATACAACAGAAGAGAATTATATACAAATGCATAACATTGTAATATAAAGGATACAATAATATGAAATTCTTTTACAATTGTAAACGTATGACTTATGGGTGTAAATTGTTGTCTTAAACGAAAGCGAAAGTTAAGACTATGATTTATATCATTCGTTTTAAAAATGAACATTGCTATATTCATCCTCAGTGACAAAAATAAACAAAGTTACTTAGTTCCGTACCAATAACTGAATCTTAATCGAAAAACGAAAATTTAAGAGAAAGTGAAGGTACCGTCTTTGTGTACATGCTTTATAAATGACTATCAATAGACGGATGTCATAAGCATTATTCCTCAACAAATCAATGATCTTAATTATTTAAACAAGTAAAAAACATAGAAAAAAAAACGATGCAGGTAAATAAAAAATAACTATACAGTTTATGTCTGAGCAAAATACTACATATACTATAAAGCGATTATATTGCCTGCTTCTTTTTATTTTTTTTTAACGTGAAGATAAAAGTTTTGCAAGCGCGATAGCAATATGAAAGTTGACAAGTACATTATCAATAATTTTACATGCGATATGCAAAAACATTTCACATTGATATCTGTAGTTATGGCAAATAAATGTGCTGTATTGGTCAAAACCTAAATTTGATATAATAGCGTTCCAGAAGGCACGTCTTTCAGTCTCTTTCCTGTGACAAAAACACATAAGGTGTTCTGTAATGTCATTTGTAAGCAGATTGCAAATGCTACAACGACGCACATATGAATAACACATCCCGTGTCCAACTGCCTTGGCAAGTATTTCAGCAACCCATTTTAGACCCGGATTTTGTCGAATAATAACCCACAGAGGGGAAATCTTGTAAGGGTGAAGTAGAAATGTTAATGCTGGCACTTGTGGCGTTAACGTTTCTAAGAATAACTCTTTTGTTGATTCATTGATTACCTTCATCTGTAAAATCTTCTTCCATTTTAATTTAGATGGAAACACACCGGTATCAATAAAAGTATAAATGACGTACAACAGATCATACTTCTGCAGTAATCTATATATGTCTGGAATAAATCCATGTTTCTGTCTATCCATACTCACATATCTAATCAATCTATTAACAAATATCTGTTTAGCAAGATATTTAGATGGCAATCGGCATAATTGACCAAATAACTGTAACGCGCTTTAATTTTGAGTAAAAATGATATGATGAAATGAAACAAATATAATTGTGAATAAAAAAAACTTAAAAGGAATCTTTTAACCACTTGTACTAAAACGCTTTCAAATTAATTTTTGCAAGTAAAGCCATCACCCCCCCACACACACACCTGCCTTAAAAAAAGGGGGAAAAGAAACTTCATATCATGGAAAAAAACCAGAGACCTTCAGATCTACCAACACACCACACTGCGCCGACGTGTGAAGCAATATATTCGTTAGATACCTGTGTTTATCCAATGATCTTTACGAAAGTAAATAAAGTGCAGGACAATACTGGTGTATATATTTCCTTCAATATCCAAATATGAAATTATACAATTATAGATGATGATTGAGTCGTTTATATATCAGGTCTTATGTACATGAACAATATTTGACAAGTACTGTTTGTCTAATGTGAGAGTGACGTTTCATTTTACGTGTACACAAGTTCCATAAATTGTCTTTATTTAGTTATTTACAAATGTATTTATTATTTATTTATTTTACATCAGACATTAGTAGTTTCGCACGTTATATAAACTGGTAATGCAGTGCGCCAACTAATCAATGTGTTGAATTGCTAAATTGTCAATTTTCGAAATAAGTACAGGTCAACAGATGAATAATATATTAATAATATATGTCATATGTTGCGGTTAAAATAGGAATATCTGTAACGAGGGGACCCCGCCCATTGGGCGGTAACGAGACAAAACGGAATACCTTATTGGTAACTGTTGTCATACAGGACAAATTAATGGTAACTGTTATCATACAGGACACTTAAATGATAACTGTTACCATACATCACACTTTTATGGTTACTGTTATCATCATGGAAAGTATGTATCATAATTATTATAACAGATTTGATTAAATTGTTAATGTTTCAATTATCCTTCAGATGAAACAAGGCAGAAGAAGGGAAACATTTTTCAGAGGTTTTTTGATTGGACACGTTATCACTGGATGAAAACAAGTAAGATTTTACTTAAATACGCTAGGCATGTAGCTTTCCATAATTGTCATACATTCAAACCTTTGTAAGAAACAAGCGCCGATTTAAGACCACCCACTTTTTGAGAAACCTTCATTAAAAAATGTGATTTCCGATAAATACCTAAATTTGTCTATAAAGACCATGCATGTTCTCTGTTTTCCGTTCCCGTTCCAGTCCGTAACAATATGTTGTTGTTAATGTTTTGTTGGAGTATTCCTTACTTTGTCCTCCGATGAGTAAGAAAATTTCGAGTGTGATTCCCGCTAGGCGGTGGTTTTTGTTTTTTAATGTACATACGATTTCTTCAAAGGTCCTGCCGAAACATTATAACTGAAGACATGAAATTATTTTAATAGAATGTAACTTGATATACAAGTTTACTAATGTCTTGTATCAATAAATTACAGGAAAATTCAGCAGCATCTCTGCTAGAATAAAATGAGCTTCCAATAAATGAAAATATGTCATGCTAAAAAATTGTTAAACGAGAAATAGTTGGGGTTTAAAAGATGTATACATCAATATAAAATATTTTTTTCTTACGGAGATCCATAATGTGTAAAAGTAACTTTTTGTTGTCAAGTAGAGGTGAATTAGTTATATTTTTTAAAATATCGACTATTAGATGGCAATTGATTAAAAACTGATAGAAATGTAATAATAATAATAATAATAATAATAATAATAATAATAATAATAATAATAATAATAATAATAATAATAATAATAATAATGATAATAATAATAATAAATAATAATAATAATAATAATAATAATAATTATTATTATATAAAAATTATTGGGTTATAAAATATAAACTGTCTAAAATATACGAGGGTTGTCCAATATATTTGTGCACATGTAGATACTTTGCATCAATCTTTCCTCTTCTGACAGTAAAACAAATTATGACATAAAAAGGAAATGCCACTTTACAAGCAATAATAAGAGGTTAATACACGGCAGGAGAGGGCCGGAAGGTGATAATCGGCCCGCAAAATGAATAATGGACCCGAGGGCTTTAGCCCGAGGGCCATTATTCATTCAGGGCCGATTATCACCTTCCGGCCCTACGCTGACGTGTATTAAAGTCTTTAATACACTTGGTAGATCTAATAGTAGCATTTAAAAACAACAACAAAAAAATAACAAAAACATACTAAAAACAAATAGACTTTGAAGTTCTTTCGTTGAAATTCTTGTCTACTCTTCTACTGTTCTGTACAGTACAGAGATGTTTTCTGTTTGTGTGTTCAAAGCAGTAGAACCAAGAAGCAAGTTTTATTTTCTTTTTTTTTCGGAATGAATTTGTCGTATTATTTCTTCAAATTTCAATAGTAGGTAGATATTCTAACAAAAATGTGTTTGTACTTAATACGCTTAAGGTCTCATAATAAAAATAAAGCGATTCGTGCTGACAGCCTACTTTCACTTTTACAGTTAACTGTTTGATGACGTTAAAAGTGACGTCATTGTTTCAGTTTGTGCACGTGCACATGTTCTGCGGGCTGATAACTAGTTCTCGGCCCCGGGCCGCAAACTTATAATAGGTCACGTGACACTCATAATCAGTTGAAATCATAGGCAATTTTGTTACTATATATAGTAACAAGTGTATTAAAAGATTTTATCACACACCCGTGCCGATTTTGCGACTCCGTAAATATGGTATTGCACGGCCGTGTATATATATTGACGTGACGTCATTAGCGTTATACAAACATAAAGACGCGCTAAATGTTCGCTTTATATAATATAGGCGCGTCAATGAAAAATGACTTATTTCACTTTAAACGGTCTTTATTTTCGCCAGAGGCTCGCATAATATAATTTTATTTAACTCGTGCAATAAATTCAGTATTGAACTTACACTCATTCAGTATCCTCTATAATTATGGTACAATCACAGCTGCAATGGCGCGCGTTAAACCCTGTAAAGATCACTTGGAATTGTACAAATGATTCAGACCACTGCATTTTGAAGATCATGAAGTGTTTTGAACATCCATCCCTTCAGCTGTATTTTGATGTGTTGAAAAATATAATCATAGGAAAGTAGAGTACCAGTTGTGTAACAAACTAAATTATGAACACTACTTATAAAGAGTTACGGCGCCATTTAATAGTTTTATTGGTTTAAAAAAAAGATTACAAAAATACTAGACCCTAATGCCAATTTAACGTCAACTCTCTGACGACCACACGGAAAAGTAACAATAGGGCAAATGACGTCATATTTTCTAGTGACGTCAGGAATACGTAAACACAGTTTCCCTGAATTTTGACGTTTATGTGTAGTGCTTAAAGGATACTGTGATGCATCACATAAATGAACTTACCCAATTTTTTGTCGCGCGCCGGTTTTACGTTACTAAGGTAACTGTATAATGAGTCGTTTTTAAGACAGTCACGCCGGTCACACGGCCTTTTTCTTTTGTTTTCTTATTTGAGGCAGTTTTCACCTTAAAGTGATATATAACTCTTGCTTTTTATCAATTACTCTCATGTAATATCTGCAGTGCACGAAAACAGTCACTGTACGGGACCGGGCAATTAAAACAAAACAATCGAAAATCTGTGAAAAATATGTTAAAAAAGCATATCGACCTAATGGAGTTAACACTAACGAATAACGCGGAAGACGACATACAACGTCATGACGGGCGTCGCTCACTGACATAACGTCACTTCCTTTTTGGTTTGTTTTAATTAAGTATATAAAGATTAAGTGAATAACGAATAAACGAATGATGCAGACGACAACATACAATGACATGACGGGCGTCGCTCACTGACATAACGTCACTTCCTTCTCGGTTTGTTTGAATTAAGTATATAATATATAAAGATTATGCTGAAGGAGCATATTTGTTACCGGTACGGGGGCTTAGGTGGAAAGTAGGTATAGGCAGTCAGGTAGGTAAGTAGGTAGGAAGGCACGTAGGTAGGTAGGTAGGTAGGAAGGCAGACAGGCAGACAGGCGGTTAGGTAGGCAGGCAGGCAGGTAGGTAGGTGGACAGGCAGGTAGGTAGGCAGTCAGTCAGGTAAACAAGTAGTTAGATAGGTAGGCAGGCAGGCAAGCAGATTGGCAGTCAGGTAGGTAGGCAGGCAGGTAGGTATGTGGGTAGGCAGGTGTGCAGTCAGGTAGGCAGGCAGATATGCAGTCAGGTAGGTAGGCATGCAGGTAGGTAGTCATACAGGTAGGAAGTCAGGTAGGTAGGCATGCAGGTGGGTAGGTATATAGGCAGGTACTACTTCATATTTTGCTGCAAACCATTTACATGCAATTTGTTTCGACAGATCAATAACATATTGTAACTTAATGTTCTCTTAAACTGCCAGTATTGAATTCAAAGCATATTTTTATCTTGTAAGTTAATCTTCTATATTTAGCCTTTTTTATAGTCTACAAAACATGTGTTAGCAAAAAATTCTATAAATTGAAAAAAAAGAAACGGAGATAAGAAAACCTATCTCTTGAACTGAAGTTCAACCAAAACCAACATTATATAACCAAATGCTTGTGCAAATGATAAGCGTTCTACGTACTTTACGCTTCATTATGATTTACACACTTATTGACAAATAAAATAACTAAAACGTGCCGTAACATTGCACAATCTTGAAACATACTGGCAGTAACAAAAGTTATCATAAGAACTCTAGGACATTTTCAGAGTTATCGCAAGAACTCCGGCCGTGACATTTAGAAAATCGTGTAATCTATAAGCCTGGGCATTACATTTGCAACTTTCCATTATAATTAGGTAATAAGGTATGGCAACGAAGAAGATCACATATGAAAAGTTCCATAAACTCCGTGACAACTGTTATTGTAATTACTCCACCCTTCGTGTAACCGTTCCTCCCCCGTGATAATATGCACTGTCTTACCTTTAATCCTGGCTCCTCCCCTGGTTGGCTATGCTTGTCAAAAAGTAATAAATTTCTATTTATAGATATATAATGTTTGTTTCAGTTGTCCGGGTATATTCACCAGAGATGGAACATTTTTGTAAAACACTTTTCGTTTTTGTTTGTTTTTGCTTTTGATGCAAATTCTTTAGAAGTAGTGATAGAATGGTAAGATTTTGATTTATTGGAAATGTATTTATTCTATATTTCGAATGTTTTAAAAAATGTCTTTACAATATGTTATCTTGTCACGGAAGTGATAGCAGACGACAATTTATTGTTTTATTTTATTTCAAATTATTGGTGACTTATATATATTATATGATGTTATACATGTATAATTATAGTTCACTGTTATTAACGGTTTTGATTAGATATTTTCCACTCATTTATATTTGAAAGCTGAGTTATACGCTGAAAAACCAAAGTCTAGTGAGCTTGAGTTCAAACATGCAGGTGGCTTGAGTTTAATAATTAGCCGTGAAAAAAGTTATTTAACATTTCATATTTTTACATTTAATATTATGCATGAAAACTGTCAAATATCAGATAATGAAGGATAAACATGAAATATGTTAGAGTCACCGGACCAGTGCTCAACCAGTATTTCACAAAATCACATAAAAACTCTTTCAAAACAAAAAGATTGCTCGGAAACTTATTTTTGTTACAAAGCTTAGCCTTCAAAACTCATTATAAACAAAAGCGTTTTAATGATACAGATTAGGATACCATTTACCAAGGAGTTGTACATAGGGCCTAAAACCACTATATTTTTCAAGCAACGTAACCAGTGCTCGACCAGGTTGTTTTATTTTTATCAGAACTTTTATTTTTGAAAAAACAGATATGACTTTTTGTGTTTAACAATTTTATTTCAAATCTATTTTGGAACATTTATGTTTTAGTGAGTATGGATGTAAATATGAGATAACTATGATAGGAAGGAAATGTTAGACATTGACAAATTGAGTGATTTAAAGAGGTTTTTTTTTCCTTTTTGCTTTTTTACTGGGGAGTTTGAGATTACTTATTCTCATATTCTATCACTGCAAACATAGTAAAGTGTGACACTTGATGTAATATACAGTTGGTCTGCCCTTTTAGTGGTGTGTTCCCTATTTGTAACCGGACAGCTGCCATATCT